CCCTCCCAGTCCCCCCCCCTGACCCCCCCAAAGCCAGACCCCCCCCAGCCATTTCTGCCTCTGCTGCAGCGCTGAGTCAGATGTTCCCTACCCACATGGTCCCCATTCCACACTGCTCTCATTTACAATGGGGCAGCCCCATGGCCGAGATCCCCCCGTGGTGCCGGGCCCCCCCAAAGCCAGAGCCCCCCCAGCCATTTCTGCCTCTGCTGCAGCGCTGAGTCAGATGTTCCCTACCCACATGGTCCCCATTCCACACTGCTCTCATTTACAATGGGGCAGCCCCATGGCCGAGATCCCCCCGTGGTGCCGGGCACTGCCCTGACCCACAAGGCGTCCAGTTCAAACAGACACGGGCAGGATCTTCCTTCTCATCGTGCAGGTGGGTAAACTGAGGCACAGGGTGATGGTTGCTAAACTTGCTTCAGGAGCTGGCCTGCTCAGGTCTCCTCGGGTCTCCATGCAGCTCCCCAACCCAGGGACCCCCCCCCACCCGGGCTGAGCTGGGGAATGGTCCCATATTTCGTGGGTCCCGGCCCTGTGCCTTAGCCCCGTGGCCACTCTCATCATGTGGGGTCCCACACAAGCATGTGGGGGCTGGGTTACTGCCCCCCAGGCTGCCCTGAGATCGCCAGCCCTGCCCCCTCCCAGTCACTGGAGGTTTCTTGCCCCTGGAGGGATTCACATGGATTGAACAGGGAGTTTGAGGGGTCCATCCCTTCCTCCATCCCACCTCTGCCAGGGGCCAGTCCTGGATTTTCCCATCTATTCCCGGGATGGCCTTGGAGCCCACTGGGTGACCCCCTGCTGCAGCTACCTGCAGGGTATAAGTAGTGTGTGGGGGGGTGTTGCACTGGTACAGTGGGGAGATGGGTCTAGAAATGAATGGTGCTATTGCAGAGGTATCTAGAACAGCTGGATATGGATGCACATCACTCTAGAACTGATCTACATCGCATCTGTAGCTCTCAATCGATCTAGAAGGCAATTGCTTGATCGACAGGAATCCTAAATTGACCTACGTGGACCCAGCAATGTCTTTGTGCGCCTGCGCTGCTGAAGCGTGGGCCTCAAAGACTTCAGGAATGGTCCTGGATGGACAATTGTGGATCTACATGGGAATGGACGGATCCCGTCTGTCCTCAGGTCAGACCAGCCAATGGTCTGACAACATGACAAGGCTGGCTGAGAGCCCGTTAGGAGGGAAGAGATGGATGTGGATGGCTGGAAGGCATTTACCAAAGTGTGACGTGGCCTTCAGATTGATGACACATATTTTGCCAGGACAATGATGCTCAGCAAATTATGAGTTTTTAGATGCTCCTCCCCAAGGCATGTTTTTTGTATACAACATGTCATAGTCTTCTTGTTCAAGAGGTAGTACCTGCAGCAGTTTGAGGTCACCGGAGTGGGGTGATGGGATAGGGCAGTACATGCAGTGAGGTTAGTGGGGGTAGGGTGATGCATACCCCATTCTTTGCAATTGATGCATCTTTTCGTGTGATTTTGTGTCATAGGATCATTCTTTGGTCGCATACTTATGCCAAACATGTCTTAATCCTGTGACTTACTATAGCTTACGTAAAATCCTACAGCCTATAGATTTTACATCTGTGCCCTTCTTATATACCTCAAACCTAATTATCCCTTCTAATTACTGATCAGTCTTATGCATCTGTAACCCTACAATTTAAGTCTAATCAGCAAATATTATATCTAACAGCATTTCTTAGTTAACATAATAAATGAACCATAAATGATGCCACATTCATTCATCGACTCATCCATTCATCCATCCACCCAGCCATCTCTCTGCCCATCCATCCATCCCTCTGCAGGGTAAACTGAGGCAGTCCATGTTATTTCGCTAAGAACCCCTATTCAACCCTAAAATTTGAGACAGGCCTGTAAACTTAAACAGCACCGGCAGTTAGCATAAATTAGCATGACCCTGGGAAAGGCATAGTTGCCCTGGGAACCGCATTCCAAGGGGTCCCGCCAGATAAGACACTGTCTGGTACCAAAACAACCCATGTTAATGTTAGTGAGTGTGATCTGCTCTTACTGTTTTCCTTTCATCCTAGATAATGGGCCCATGACCCGCGGTTCACGCCAGTGCGATGCGACACCACCCTTCTGTAGACACATCAGAATTCAAATAGACCAAAGTTGCCATTAAATTGTCTGTTTGGTCGATGTTGGCTTTTTTAGCGTGTTAGGAATTTGAGATAAGGTGTTGAATTGGCGACGGGCGGAGATGCTGTGTCATCTTTCTTAGCTTATTGGCTTATGTGCTCATTTCGTTTTGCTGCTAGAACCTCGCGAACGGCTTCTCCTCCGTCCATCCGCCGCCTCTATCATCTAGTGTAACGTTTTGCTTAAGAAGTGTGCTCCCGCTTAACCCCTGGTAGCACTCCAGCAGCGCTGTGCGTAATAAATCCTCTGTTTTCACCACATCGGGTGTCCAGACTTATGCCCAACACGTGCACCCACCCGTCCGTCCATCTATCCATCCGTCCGTCTGCCCGCCTGTCCATCACCGTGCCCATCCATCCATCCATCGCTCTTCCCCACTCTTCTCTCTCTCCTGCCATGCTAGAGGAGATGGACACTCCCCTCTAAAGCCTCAGCCTGTGCAGCATTTTCTTGATCCAGGGAACATATTTGGAGACTTTGGTGAACACCTGGGGGGCTGACCCATCTTTTCTGCCATAGGAGACGATGCCCTGGGGCTTCCCGTCACACACCAGGGGGCCCCTGGAGTCACCCTGAGAAGTAAACACCAGGCGCGGGGTTAGTGGTGTCCCAGGAAAGGGTGAGCTGCTTTAGCTACGCACGGTCCTGAAATCCAACTCGGTACCTCTCTTCCAGGGACTCATGCCCCAGTCTCTGCACAGGGGCAGGTATTAATCAGCTTGTGGGCCGGGCGTGGTTTCCCAGGGTTATTCCCGGGCAGGCTGCTGTTGTATTTACCTGCACCTGCACGGGTATGACCGCTTGCAGCTCCCGTGCATCGCCGTTTTCAGCCAATGGGAGCTATGGGAAGTGGTGTTCCAGTCCACGCCATTTCATGCAGCTTCCATTGGCCATGAATCACTGTTTTCAGCCAATGGGAGCTATGGGAAGTGGTGTTCCAGTCCACGCCATTTCATGCAGCTTCCATTGGCCATGAATCACTGTTTTTTGCCAATAGGAGCTATGGGAAGTGGTGTTCCAGTCCTCGCCATTTCCTGCAGCTCCCATTGGTCACGAATCACCGATATTTGGCCAATAGGAGCTATGGGAAGTGGTGTTCCAGTCCACGCCATTTCATGCAGCTTCCATTGGCCATGAATCACTGTTTTCAGCCAATGGGAGCTATGGGAAGTGGTGTTCCAGTCCGCACCACTTCTTGCAGCTCCCATTGGCCATGAATCACTGTTTTTTGCCAATAGGAGCTATGGGAAGTGGTGTTCCAGTCCGTTGCCAGACCAGAGAGTCCCTGTTTAGAGAGTTTTAATCTGTAGCATGTCCGCGGTTACAGCCACTTGCAGCTCCCATTGGCTGGGGATGGTGATTCCCAGCCAATGGGAGCTCTGATTGCCTGTACCTGCAGAGAGGCAAGTAAATACTCCAGCAGTGACCCGCCAAGAGATAACCCCGGCAAACCACCATCGTTTTACCCACCCTTGCATTACCAGGACCCATCTAGGCTTGTGCCCCATGATCCAGGGAACCAGCTGGCATCTATCCCTGGTTTCTAGGTTCTAGCCCAGGAGTGGGTAGAAGGCTTCTGTGGGCCAAATCCAGTCTGCCATGTGAGTCGATCCAACCCACAGACAGCCTGCTGGCCACCCTCCCACCCCCCAGGACGCGGGCAAGGTCTCTTCCTGCCCTGCTCAGCTCACTGTTGGCTCTAGGCGGGGGGCTCCCTTGCAGGGCGGGGGCAGGGAGCGAGAGACTTAACGTGCTCCTCCTCCTCAGGACGATTTGACCTGGGGATGGAGTGGGGGGGAGCACGCAACGTCTCCTCCCACTGCCAGAGGCGCCCATACCTACAGGGAATCACCAGCTGTTGCAAGGTCTCTTCCTGCCCTGCTCAGCTCACTGTTGGCTCTAGGCGGGGGGCTCCCTTGCAGGGCGGGGGCAGGGAGCGAGAGACTTAACGTGCTCCTCCTCCTCAGGACGATTTGACCTGGGGATGGAGTGGGGGGGAGCACGCAACGTCTCCTCCCACTGCCAGAGGCGCCCATACCTACAGGGAATCACCAGCTGTTCAGAACAGCTGGTGGTTCTCTCGGGGGTGGGAGGAAGACTTTGCGTGCTCTCCCAACCCCAATCAGGATCTGTGGGAGGGGAAGCAGGGCAGTGTCCTGGCCCCGCCCCTTCTTCCTGAAGCCCCGCCCCTTTTTCCTGAGGCCCAATCCCTTCTGGGGCAGCCCAGGGCCACTTCAAAACTTTCAGAAGTGGTCCCCAGTCCAAAATTCTTGCCCAACCCTGCTCTAGCCAGCTGTGGTGTATGAGTTCTGCCCTCCATCCCCCGTTTCTTTCCCTGGCTCTGTTCCCATCCCTGATGTCCAGAGTCTGACCGATGCAATGGCCTCGATTTCTAGGATCTCAGATCTATCCCCGTGGTCTCAATGCAGCAATTCCACCCTGATTCAGGTGATCCAGTTGATTCCCGAACCTGATTTCTAAGATTTCTCCATCACGGCCAAGATCCATCCCTGATTTCCAATACACCGCTGGTTCTTGTTCTAGCAGCACCTGGCCCCAGGTGCCCTGTACCATGCTCACCTGGAAGGAGGCCTTCTCCTCCGTGGGGTCCCCCACGCACAGCATGCTGGATGGGTTGAAGTTCCGATAGCGGGACTGTTGACACGCACCGTTCTCCATGATCTTCAGCTCCACCTCCTGCAGGGTCGGCGAGCTCGTGGAGTTCTTCTCGTTACTGATCTTGCCCCAGCCAGCAATGCTACATTTAGCCGGCTTCCTTATCTTCCACCGGGGAAGGGCGATGACTTTCACAGCCGGAGTCAGCTCGGCCTTGTGACGCAGCTGTGATGGGCGGGAGAGAAAGAAGGGAAATCAGATGCCTCTTGGGGGATGGATCTTTCAGGGCAGGGAGAGGACAGGAGCTGGAAGAGATGGGGCGGTACCTGCAGCAGTGTGAGGTCACTGGGGGCGGGGGATGGGATGGGGACAGTACCTGCAGCAGTGTGAGGTCACTGGGGGCGGGGGATGGGATGGGGACAGTACCTGCAGCAGTGTGAGGTCACTGGGGGCGGGGGATGGGATGGGGACAGTACCTGCAGCAGTGTGAGGTCACTGGGGGCGGGGGATGGGATGGGGACAGTACCTGCAGCAGTGTGAGGTCACTGGGGGCGGGGGATGGGATGGGGACAGTACCTGCAGCAGTGTGAGGTCACTGGGGGCGGGGGATGGGATGGGGACAGTACCTGCAGCAGTGTGAGGTCACTGGGGGCGGGGGATGGGATGGGGACAGTACCTGCAGCAGTGTGAGGTCACTGGGGGCGGGGGATGGGATGGGGGCGGTACCTTTAGCAGCATGATGTCATTACTGCGAGTTTGATTGTTGTACTGCGTGTGGGGGATCTGGCATTGCACGGGGATCACTTGCTGGCTCTCCTCCTGTTGGCTGATGTCATGGGCTCCCAGGGTGACAGTGATGTTGCTGTAAAAGCCGAGAGCAGCACGTGGGCATTAGAGGAGGGGTCGGACACGTGTGTTTCTGGATCGTACATTCTGATCTTAGGCGACGGGGCAGCCCGGGGCTCTCAGGCCAGATCTCAGATTCGTCTACAACCCACGGAGCAGTCATGGGCTCCCAGGGTGACAGTGATGCTGCTGTACAAGCCGAGAGCAGCACGTGGGCATTAGAGGAGGGGTCGGACACGTGTGTTTCTGGATCGTACATTCTGATCTTAGGCGACGGGGCAGCCCGGGGCTCTCAGGCCAGATCTCAGATTCGTCTCCAACCCACGGAGCAGCTCCCCTCCCCGCATTTCAGCCCTGCTGGAGAGGGGCTGGCTGTCCCAGGTGGGGTGTGGCACGGCATGAGGGGCCTTTCCTTCTGGCAGCCCCTGGCCCCAGCACAAAGCCCTGAGTGTCCCAGCCAGTGTCTTCACCCCGTTATCATCCCAGTGCCTGGGTCTCAGCGTCCCAGTACCCCTACTCTCCCCTCCTTGCCCCGTGCTGGGCCAGGTGCCACAACCAGCTGGGCTCGCTTTCTGCAGCCCCATTGATTTACCAGACTCACCGATGCCCCCTGAGCAGGCCAGACCCCTGGGCTCTTCTCCCCCAGCCTGGCCACCCCCTACCCCTTCCCTGCCCCCCACACCAGCACCAGAGCTCCCGGATCCCCCGCAGACCCAACTTGCTCCCAGCCCAGAGGCACTTACTCTCCCTGGCAGTGAGCGGCCGTCAGCACAAAGTCCTTCGCCACCAGGTACCCACCGCAGCCAAAAGTCTCCTCTCCATCTTGTATTTCCAGAAAGGCCATGTAGGGCCTGGAGTGGGGCCGGGCCTCCTTTCCCCCGATGATCTCACCTGGGGGGAGACCAGATCCAATGAAAGAGCCCCCTCACCTCCCTGGGCTGGGTGGGGCCCGACTTTCTCATTGCAAAGTGAAGCTTCCGCAGCCCCAACCTACCCCTGCGATGCTCTCCCTGAGGGATCCCTGTGCCTGGATGCCAGCCCCCTGCTCAGCTCTGCCCCACACCGGGCCCCCCATGGGGCTGGAGGGGAAAATCAAAAGCTCTGATCTCTCTGTGGCAGGAAGTGGTGCCAGATGCACCAGCAGTGGGTGAGTCACCGCCCGGACTTGCCACAACGGCGTTGGTGGCCAAGGTCGAACCCGAGCAGGCCTGTGAACCCCCAGACAGGGACGGGCTGGCTGCGGGGTGGGGAATGGGACCTTTCCCTTTGGGTGCAGCTCGGAGCTGGTGTCACGGATCCAGGGGAACTTTTTCTTTTTTTCTCCAACTTTTCCTTCCCTGCGCAGCGGCTGACACCGAGGTTATCGGCGCTTGGTAAGACAAACCCCCCACATCTTCTCTCACAGACATCACCACTGAACAGGACAGTGACACGTTTTCATCTCTGCCTGGGGAGATCTTTCCCACCACAAACTTTGGGGCTGAATTTCCTTCTCTCAGGATCCTTCCCTAAATTCCCTGTTGCTGCCTCTGTAAGTCCAGGGTTCTGAATGCGGGAGGAAGAGACAGAGGGACATCATTTGGGGGGTCTGCTCCCCCTTTTTCTCTTCTTTGAGAATCCCTCCACTGCAGGTTAGAAGACAGAAGTTCTGTGCAGATCAGTATCCCCAACAATTTGTTCATCACGATGCACATTTTTTCACCCAGGTCCTACTTACTGCCTCAGAATGGCAATTTAACTGGATGAAGGGCCCTTTTATTTCATTGACACCTGGCTGAGGCATCGGCTGGTCTTTTGTCTCTGGGGAACTGGTTGGTGTCTGCTCCACCCACTTGAAACATGTCTGAGTAACACCCAGCAGGATAATCTTATCACTTTACCTGCCATATCTATTTTATCGGGACAATAATGGTCAGGAAATTATGAGGTTTTGGGTGATACGTCACAAGACACACTTGGAATAAAATTTATCATAATCCTGTATCAGTGGGATCCAAACTTTCATGGGCTCTGATGTAACACCAATAGAACCCAGTCCTTGAAAACCTCCAATCACCCCAAATTCCCAGAGGCCCGAAACCCAGCTGTACTCACCAGCCCAAGTCCCAGGGGGCAGGAGAAGGACCATGGGGAGCAGAAATAAAAAGTGAACCTGCATGTTTGCAGTCAGAGCAGGGACGGTGCCTGTGCTGGAGGCTGCAGGGTTTATAGACTCAGCTTGGGGAGGATTCAAGAGCGCAGGAAACCTCAAAGTCACCCACACGCTTATTTAAAAACAGAGTTCAGGTGGATCTGTTTCTAGCCACAGCCGACCACACGGGCTGGGGGGGAGAATAGAACATGAGTCAGCCCTGTAGCTGGGTCTCTGCACAGCTGGTTGGATGAAGCACAGCTGGACAGAGAAGACCCCGGTGGGGATGTGTCCAGCAGGGTCCAGGGCTGCTCTGGGTTCAGCTCACAGCTGGGCACATCTGGATCTCGGACTCCCCTGGCTTTGTCCCCATTCAGCTCCCTGCTGGTGTCTCTGCAGTGGGGGTTGTGGGTGACAGCGACTGATCTCGGCGGCGGGTGGGAACGGGGCCCTTTGATCTTTCTCAGGGTGGGGCCAGGCCTGAGCCGGCTGGGATTGGACAAAGCCAGCACCAGCCCCCCTCCCAGCGACCGCAGGGGGAGGGGTTCTGAGAAGCCCCCCATGACTCTGTAACCACATTCAGGGGATGTGGCTGTTTCTGTGACAACCTGCCCCTGGGAGCTGTGACTGTGCAGAGGGGAAATGACACAGCAGAGACACGTAGCCCCTGGGAGACCTGGCTTGTAGCTCCCTTCAGTATCACCGTACCCCCGCTCTCACCACTAGACCTCGCTCCCTTCCCAGAGCTGCGGAGAGAGCTCAGGAGTCCTGGCTCCCAAAAAACGCACGGCTGTTAGGAACAGCCCCCAAACCGCTGCCCTCCCAGCGCCGAGTACACTTTGTGCAAACCGATGAGATACTCCCTGTCCTTCCCAAGCCCCTCCGGTCTCAGCCCCGACAAACTCACCACACCCAAGGCCCCGCAGCCCTGGGGTTCCGCCCTGCCCGGTGGGGGTGGAGGGCTCCATTGGAAGTTGGGATCTCCTCAATGTGCGATGTGAGTGCGGGGGCTGGTTCAGGGAGAACGTCTCTGACCTGGAATTACCTCCCAGGGAATCTCTCGGCTCGGGGCCGGCCCGTTCCTGGAGGGGCGATCTCTCCGCACTCCCTGGCCAGCCAGGGATGGAAGAGGAGGTGGGTCCCTGGAGGCCCCGGCCGCTGGCGCTGGCTGAGAACTGACAGACTCATCACTGGAGACCAGGCTGCTCAGCTGGGGGCGAGTTTCCCTCCCGCTAGGGCCGGACGCACCAACCCCATGTCCCAGCCAGACCCTGAGGTGCCTGGAAGTCGCCCTCCACGCTCACCTCCCACGCCGGGTCCCTGTGCTGGGTTGGGTGGGGACGGGGGAGTTTGGCTTTCTGCTCTGGGCGGTGCTGTCTTGAAACAGGGGATCCCAGACCGGATTCCAGACCTCAGCTCCAATACACCGTATCTATCTATCTATTCCCACACACCTCCTCTATCTATCTATCTATCTATCTATCTATCTATCTATCTATCTATCTATCTATCTATCTATCTATCTATCTATCTATCTATCTATCTATCTATCTATCTATCTATCTATCTATCTATCTATCTATCTATCTATCTATCTATCTATCTATCTATCTATCTATCTATCTATCTATCTATCTATCTATCTATCTATCTATCTATCTATCTATCTATCTATCTATCTATCTATCTATCTATCTATCTATCTATCTATCTATCTATCTATCTATCTATCTATCTATCTATCTATCTATCTATCTATCTATCTATCTATCTATCTATCTATCTATCTATCTATCTATCTATCTATCTATCTATCTATCTATCTATCTATCTATCTATCTATCTATCTATCTATCTATCTATCTATCTATCTATCTATCTATCTATCTATCTATCTATCTATCTATCTATCTATCTATCTATCTATCTATCTATCTATCTATCTATCTATCTATCTATCTATCTATCTATCTATCTATCTATCTATCTATCTATCTATCTATCTATCTATCTATCTATCTATCTATCTATCTATCTATCTATCTATCTATCTATCTATCTATCTATCTATCTATCTATCTATCTATCTATCTATCTATCTATCTATCTATCTATCTATCTATCTATCTATCTATCTATCTATCTATCTATCTATCTATCTATCTATCTATCTATCTATCTATCTATCTATCTATCTATCTATCTATCTATCTATCTATCTATCTATCTATCTATCTATCTATCTATCTATCTATCTATCTATCTATCTATCTATCTATCTATCTATCTATCTATCTATCTATCTATCTATCTATCTATCTATCTATCTATCTATCTATCTATCTATCTATCTATCTATCTATCTATCTATCTATCTATCTATCTATCTATCTATCTATCTATCTATCTATCTATCTATCTATCTATCTATCTATCTATCTATCTATCTATCTATCTATCTATCTATCTATCTATCTATCTATCTATCTATCTATCTATCTATCTATCTATCTATCTATCTATCTATCTATCTATCTATCTATCTATCTATCTATCTATCTATCTATCTATCTATCTATCTATCTCCACCCCCCATCTAGCACAAAGATCTATCGTTTTAGTGCTCCCCTCTTGCTGTCTCTGTTCATCCAAGCTCTGCTCTCTCTCTTTCTCGCTCTCTTACTCCAGCCCTATTTGCCTGCTGTTTTAGCCAGTGAAATAAGCATTCGTGTGATTTTTCACACTTGCATTTTCTTAGAGGCTCCGAAGTGGCTCCTTATGGGCTCATCTACTGGTGTGTGCTCAGCTCCTGGCTAAACCAGTGCCTTTCCCTTTTATCCGCACACGACCGCCTTCCCTGCAGTTTCACACCCCGGGAGCCCCACACCCCACCCCCACTCCTGGGGACTCTGGGCGGGGTGTGGGGCTGGAGTAGCCCTCCTGTCTCAATCAGCCAGTCCTCAGGAGTCCAGACTCCCCCTGCAGCTGCTGCACAAAGCCATTTCATGTCACCCCCAGCAGGGGTGATGCACCGAGGGGAAACATCACACAGCTTCCTCCATATCTTACAGAGATTATCCAGGCTCAAGCAGGAAGGGACATGGGCCACGGTCTTTCCACGCTATGGGGAGCCAGTTCCAATCTGCCTTAAAGTGGCTGGCTTAGAGGGACCTATAGAGAGGGAGCTGTCGCAGGGAGATGGTGCTGTGCCATGGGCCTTTCCCCAGCAGGGGGCGCCCTTGTCACACTGGCCACCAGGACCATGTCAATCACAAACCGATGACGGGTCCAGGGCCCAGATGCAGAGGGAGGCCTGACCCCGCGTTTCCAGGAGCAGGTGGTGCAGCAGAAGCCGGTGGCGGACTGTCAGCTCTGCATTGCTAGATTTCTGGCTGGTCGGCTTTTATCCAGAGCAGGAAGTGGGAAATGCGAGTGAACACAGCTGGAGGTGCGATGCTGTTACTCATGCACATGGAGACGATGCCCTCGGAATCGCCCGGCGGTCACTGGGGGTGGGGGGGGGGTGGTACCTGCAGCAGTGTGAGGTCACTGGGGGTGGGGGATGGGATGGGGTGGTACCCGCAACAGTGTGAGGTCACTGGGGCTGGGGGATGGGATGGGGTGGTACCCGCAGCAGTGTGAGGTCACTGGGGGCGTGGCTATGGGAGGGGGGCGGTTCCTGCAGCAGCATGATGTCATTTTTATAGGTGTTCCCGTTGTACTTTGGGTGGAGGATCTGCCGGTGCACGTGGATCACTTGCTGGCTGTCGTCTTCCTCACTGACGTCGTGGGCTCCCAGTTTGATGGTGATCTTGCTGTGAAAACCGAGAGTCCCCCATGAGGCCTGGGGTGCAGTCTCCTGCTGGTGCTGGGGGGTGGGCGCACGTGGGGCTGACCTCTGAGCACTAAACTAGGTTAGTACTTTGGGTGGAGGATCTGCCGGTGCACGTGGATCACTTGCTGGCTGTCGTCTTCCTCACTGACGTCGTGGGCTCCCAGTTTGATGGTGATCTTGCTGTGAAAACCGAGAGTCCCCCATGAGGCCTGGGGTGCAGTCTCCTGCTGGTGCTGGGGGGTGGGCGCACGTGGGGCTGACCTCTGAGCACTAAACTAGGTTATCGGCGCTTGATGAGACAATCTCCCCCCACCCCTCCACGGCCATTCTCTGTCACAGACATCAGCGCTGAACAGGAGAATGACACCTTTTAATGTCTTCTGGGGAGATCTTTCCCACCACCGTCCTGCAAACTTTCTGGCTCAATTTGCCTTCCCTCAGGATCCCTCCCTCAGTCCCCTGCAGCTGCGTCCATGGGCCCGGTATTCTGCATGCGGGAGATAGAGTCAAGAGGAGATTATTTGGGTAATTTCCTTCCACCATTTGTAATTGTTTCTCTTCTTTGCAAGTCATCTCTTGCTGGGGCTTAGGAGACAGAACGTCTGTGCAGACGAGTGTCCCAAGATTTTGATTCACCACGCTGTGTATTTTTCACCCAGGTCCTACATGCTGCCTCAGGACGTTCAGTTTAACCAGGTGAAGGGACATTTTATTTCACTGACACCTGCTTGAAGTATCGGCTAGTCTTTTGCCTCTGGGGAACCGGTTTGTGGGTGCTCCACACACGTGAAACACGTCTGAGACACACCCTGCAGTATAATCTTATCACTTTACCTGCCACAGCTATTTTATCAGGACAATAATGCTCAGCAAATTATGAGATTTCAGGTGATACTTCACAAGGCACAGTTGGACCAAAATTTATCATAATCCTCTGTAAGTGGGGAACAAAGGGGTCCAATCTGTCACAGGCCTTGAAGTAACAGCTGTATAACCCAGTTCCTGAAAACCTCCATTCACCCCAAAGGCCCAGGACCCCAAACTCAGCTGTACTCACCAGCCCAAGTCCCAGGCGGCAGGAGAAAGGCCATGGGGAGCAGAAAGAAAAAGTGAACCTGCATGTTTGCAGTCGGTGCAGAGCAGTGCCTCTGCCGCAGACCTGCAGGGTTTTACTAGGCTCCGCTTCTGGGCAATTCAAGTGGGCAGGAAACCGCAAAGTCACCCACACGTTCTTCTAATTGCAGGGCTCCGGTGGATCTGTTTCCAGCCACAGCCGACCACACGGGCTGGGGGGAAGGAAAGAACATGAGTCAATCCAGTAGCTGGGTCCCTGCATAGCCGGCCGGATGATGCCCCATTGGATGGAGAAGACCCCAGTGGGAATGTGTCCAGCAGGGTCCAGGGCTGCTCTGGGTGCCGCCTCACAGCTGGGCACATCTGGGGCTTGGACATCACCTCTCAGCTCCCTGCTGGTGTCTCTGCAGAGGGGGCTGGGAGAGGTAGTGACTGAACTTGGTGGTGGGTGAGAACGGGGCCCTTTGATCTGTCTTGCGGGGGGGCCAGACCTGACCTGGCTGGGGCTGGGCACAGCAGGCATCAGCCCCCATCCCAGCGACCACAGGGGGTGGGTTTTTGAAAAGCCCCCCCAGAGTGCAGAGGGGAAATGACACAGCAGAGAGACGCAGATATCCTGGGCAACCTGGATTGTCGCTCCCCTCCATTTCACCCGTGTGTGGAGCCACCACAAACCGGTTCCCCAGAGGCAAAAGACTAGCTCTCACCACTAGATCCTGCTCCCTTCCCACAGCTGCAGAGTGAAGCCAGGAATCATGGCTCCCGGACCACTCACCGCTGTTAGGAACAGCCCCCGCACCACTACCCTCCTCGTGAGGCTCTCTCTTTTCATCCATCTCGTCCCAGTTCCGACAAACTCGCCGCTAGCTGGCAGTGAAACGGGTCTACTTAAAGAGGGGATCTCCTCAAGCCGCGGGCTCCCTCTGAGAAGTGCTGGTTCAGGGAGAACGTCTCCAACCTGATCTACAGCTTGGTGTGGCTGTCCAAGAAATCCTTCAGCCTGGGTCCGGCCCGTTCATGGAGAAGGGAGCCGTCGGTGCTCCCCGCTAGCCAGGAAAAAGTGTCCTCCCCGTGCTTTCTGAAATGGACTTCTGGACCCAAACGTGCACAACTCGGAGATACTCGGGAACAAAACGGTGCCATGTAACTGATCGATCTCCATGGTGTAATCCCCTGGCTCCGTGTCTGTTGCTTTGGTGCGTGGGTCACCCTTGTGTGGGCGGCCAAGGATATGGGGCGGGGAAAGCTCCGTGGTTTCACACGTACTAAGGGAAGCCAGCCAGGGTGTTACCGTCAAGCTCTGGTCCTCTCTCAACAGCCTTTTTTACCACTGTGGTGGTTGGTCCTAGAAAACCACCTACGATCGCCAGCAGGTAGGAACTGGCCAGGAAACTTCCCATGGAAGGATGGAAGCTAGAAACACAATTCTCGCCCCAACGGTGGAGTCTCTAAACCAGCGTTTCTTAAACTGTGTTTTGTGGCACACCCGTGTGCCCTGAGGCAGTCGGAAGTGAGCCACGGAGAACAACGGAGTTCAAAATGGCCGCTTTTAAAGGGACAGGAGACCTTTTTCTTTTTGGTCAATAACCTCCCCTCCCCCGTTTTTTTTTTTTCTCGACAAAAAATCCTTGCTCGTTCTCATGAAAAAATTATATTTTGGCGTTCCTCGGTCTTAAAACGTTTAAGAAACACTGCTATAAACCAATGGGAAGTGGGCAGTCTCACTGTCTTTGGCTGGCGTGACACACCGAAGAAAGGGAGCCAGAGACCCTGGAGGGAGGGACGGCCCTGGTTTGAAGGCTTAGCTGGAACAGGAACAGTGTTCGGGTGAGTTTGTAAGACGTTTGCACGGAGGTGTCAGTGTCAGAGTCAGCAAAGCGGTTCCTGTTCTTTTAAGTGCCTTTTCTATTTTGCTCTGCCCTTTCACACTTATAACCACTTCAATCCAGCTGCTTGTACTTAATAAATCACTTTTATTGACTCTCAAGCCACGTGTAAATGATTGTTACGTGGGAGCAACCACTGTGCTCATTCCCCCTTTCCTTCCTAAAGCGGGCTCATCCAAATAATTCCTTTGGGGTTTCATCATTTCACTCAAGCTCGGCACGGTCTTACCAAAACCCACTGAATGTTGCGACTCGGAGATGCATGCAAGGCGCTGCCTGCGTTAATCCCCCACGTCATGTCTGTGTTCCAGGCTGTGTGGAAAAAGGGTGTTTTGCTTCGTAACGGCGACGAATGGGAGGAGCGCTGTCCTTTTCTAAACATCCCACCGCTGCCACCACATCCAGACTGTTCCCCACTCCACGTGCAGCAGGTGGGGGCCCGCGAGAGACCTTAGAAATCCCTTGCCTTTAAAGGCTTCTGTTTTAAAACCTCCCCAGGGTCTCAGAGTCCCTGGCTTTGGAAGAGAGGACAACATCACCCAAGTACTACTACAGAAACATGTGGTGACTAGAGGCACTGGATTGCTGGCTTGTTACATCCTTCTGTCACCCACGAAACCCCCTTCTCCACCTTTCCCTTCCTTTTTCTCCCCATTCAATGCTGCACCCTTTTTACTTCTGGTATAGTAAAAAGGGGGTGCTAAGAAACTGCAGGTGATAATGCCAATGCGGCCAGCTAGCTCCAGGTCTGTGTGTGGATGGGGCAACGTTTTATCTAATCTATCTATCTATCTATCTATCTATCCCCACACACCTCCTCTATCTATCTATCTATCTATCTATCCCCACACACCTCCTCTATCTATCTATCTATCTATCTATCCCCACACACCTCCTCTATCTATCTATCTATCTATCTATCTATCTATCTATCTATCTATCTATCTATCTATCTATCTATCTATCTATCTATCTATCTATCTATCTATCTATCTATCTATCTATCTATCTATCTATCTATCTATCTATCTATCTATCTATCTATCTATCTATCTATCTATCTATCTATCTATCTATCTATCTATCTATCTATCCCCACACACCCCCTCTATCTATCTATCTATCTATCTATCTATCTATCTATCTCCATACCACATCTACCTATCTCAAAGATCTGTCATTTTACTGGTCTCTCCGTGCTGTCCATATAAATTGTCTCTGTGCATCCAACCTCTACTCTCTCTCTCTCCAGCCCTATTTCCTTGCTGTTTTACCTGGTGAAATACACACGCGTGTGATTTTACACACCTCCATTTTCTGAGAGGCTCCAAAGTGGCTACTTATGGGCTCTAATATTGGTGTGTGCTCAGCTCCTGGCTCAATCAGCCCCTTTTCCCTTTTGCCCACACGGCTGCATTCCCTGCAGTTTCACACCCTGTGAGCCCCACTCCCCACCCCCGCTCATAGGGACTCTGGGCGGGGTGAGGGGTTTGAGTAGCCCACCTGTCCCAACCAGCCAGTGCTCAGGAGTCCAGACACCACCTTAAATGAAAGCCATTTAATGCGTCTCCCGCAGCATGGGTGACCCGCCCAGCAGGGGACATCGCACAGTTTCATCAGCATGTTACAGAGATTATCCAGGATCGAGCAGGAAGGGACACGGGACACGGTCTTTCCACGCTATGGGGAGCCAGTTCCAATTCGCCGTGGAGTGGCTGGCTCAGAGGGACCTATAGGCGGCAGTAGCTCCAATTTACTCCGGGGGCGGAGGGGGAGGCTGTCTCAGGGAGATGGTGCTGTGCCATGGGCCTTTCCCCAGTAGGGGGCGCCCTCAACAGACTGGCCACGAGGACCATGTCGATCACAAATCGATAATGGGTCACAAGCCCAGATGCAGAGGAAGGTCTGATCCTATGTGTCCAGGGGAAGGCTGGGTAGCAGAAGCAGATGGCCCTGTCGGCTCTATGTGGCTAGATTTCTGGCAGGTTGGCCTTGATCCAGCGCAGGAAGTGGGAAATCCGAGTGAACACAGCTGGAGGCTTGATGCTGTTACTTATGCACCTGGAGACGATGCCCTCGGCCACTCCGCGGCACACGAGGGGACCCCCGGAATCACCCTGCCCCGGAACAAACAGAGAGACGCAAGTTAATGCCCGGATCGGATGCCAGAGCACAATCAGAAAGAGAAATGAATTAACACCAAAATGCTCAAGATGGGGGATTCATTGACTCTAAGGCTGCGTCTAGACTACACTCCTCTTTCGAAAGAGGAACGTCATCTAGACGCACCCTAAGACCAGAAACACCACTGTCATTAGCTAGTCTGACTTCCTCTTTGGTGCTGTATAAGAAGAAAAATTAGTTGCACTAACTCACCAAAGCTTCTGAGAGAGATAGACTGTCTCCAAGAAACAATTCTTCACTCTCTGTAAGTAGGGTACAGTTTCGATCAATGCGTTAGGTTTTATTATATTATGGTTTGGGTATGGGATCTGCTGTCTGTGCACTTTTAAAAAAATGTTTTGGCTTTTCTTTGTAACTAAGTTCTAGGCCCATGGAGGTTCTCCGTGAGATATTAACATGCACAGATCGCCCGAACCTGGCTCTTCCAGGTTGTAATCTACTTACCACGGGCGAGTAGATTACATAGATTGTCGAGCCCTGGAAATTAAAATTCTGACTTTTTCATCTAGTCATTATGCTTGAAATAGGAATACAGTAATTCCTCATTTAACACTACAAATGCATTTCTGGAAATGTTCGTGCTAAGTGAAAACGTGCTATGCGGAGTCAATTTGGGGTTGCGTTTCAGATGGTGGTGGCGGCAAAGTGAGTTTTCTGTTGCTGCTGGGTCGTCAACGTCAGAATTCGATATCTAGCAACACAAGATAACTAGCAAAACAAGTCGCTGCGGTTTGTTAAAACACAAAGATAAACATGTGCGTGAGTGAAGAAGCGCTGTAACCACATGTATTCATCTGCTCATGCTTGTTCTCACCAACTTATACGACCGCACCAAGTAGTCTGCCACTTGATTATTTTCATGTTATTTCGGGGACGGCTATTATTAAGGAACTAGCCCATCATAAAATGGGATTTTCAGGTCTCTCCTCCACGTCCTATTCCTTTTCTATCTTGGTCTTCTCTGCTGAGCCTCTGGTGTCTCGCTCCGTCTCTCTCTCTCTCCCCCCTCCTCCTACTTTCTCCCTCTCTTGCTCTCTCAGCTCTCCTCCATCTCCTGCCTCTCTCTCCATCTCTCTTTCTCTTCTCCTCCTCCTCCTCCTCCTCCTCCTCCTCCTCCTCCTCCTCCTCCTCCTCCTCCTCCTCCTCCTCCTCCTCCTCCTCCTCCTCCTCCTCCTCCTCCTCCTCCTCCTCCTCCTCCTCCTCCTCCTCCTCCTCCTCCTCCTCCTCCTCCTCCTCCTCCTCCTCCTCCTCCTCCTCCTCCTCCTCCTCCTCCTCCTCCTCCTCCTCCTCCTCCTCCTCCTCCTCCTCCTCCTCCTCCTCCTCCTCCTCCTCCTCCTCCTCCTCCTCCTCCTCCTCCTCCTCCTCCTCCTCCTCCTCCTCCTCCTCCTCCTCCTCCTCCTCCTCCTCCTCCTCCTCCTCCTCCTCCTCCTCCTCCTCCTCCTCCTCCTCCTCCTCCTCCTCCTCCTCCTCCTCCTCCTCCTCCTCCTCCTCCTCCTCCTCCTCCTCCTCCTCCTCCTCCTCCTCCTCCTCCTCCTCCTCCTCCTCCTCCTCCTCCTCCTCCTCCTCCTCCTCCTCCTCCTCCTCCTCCTCCTCCTCCTCCTCCTCCTCCTCCTCCTCCTCCTCCTCCTCCTCCTCCTCCTCCTCCTCCTCCTCCTCCTCCTCCTCCTCCTCCTCCTCCTCCTCCTCCTCCTCCTCCTCCTCCTCCTCCTCCTCCTCCTCCTCCTCCTCCTCCTCCTCCTCCTCCTCCTCCTCCTCCTCCTCCTCCTCCTCCTCCTCCTCCTCCTCCTCCTCCTCCTCCTCCTCCTCCTCCTCCTCCTCCTCCTCCTCCTCCTCCTCCTCCTCCTCCTCCTCCTCCTCCTCCTCCTCCTCCTCCTCCTCCTCCTCCTCCTCCTCCTCCTCCTCCTCCTCCTCCTCCTCCTCCTCCTCCTCCTCCTCCTCCTCCTCCTCCTCCTCCTCCTCCTCCTCCTCCTCCTCCCTCTCACTGTCTCTTTCTCTTCTCCTTCTGCTCCTGCATGGGGAGCACGGAGACCAAACGGAAAGGACACTCGGCACCAGAAGATGAAGCCAATAAGCACTTACCAGATTAATGGACTTATCATCCTCAGGGTCCCCGACGCACAGCATGCTGGAGGGGAAGTAGTAAAGGTATCGGTACTGGCAGAACGTATCATTGACCACCACCAGATACACCTCCTGAAGGACGTTGGTTCTCACGTTCAAGCCAGTCCGGCCCCAGCCAGCCACGCTGCAGGTGGGATACGGCCTCCATCGGTGACGAGCAGACGTCAGCTGGAGGAGACCGACCGCCTGGGTCAGCTTCACCCTCCTGGTGAGCTACAGGAGCACAGAGAGGCAGGGAAGAAAAGTGCCGGTAAAGTGCAGACAAAGCAAGTGTGTCTGCACCTCTGTGTGTGTGTGTCCCACAGGGCAACAGGAGTGAGGTCACTGGGATGAGTTGATGGGATGGGGTGGTACCTTCAGCAGTGTGAGTCACTGGGGGTGGGGGATGGGATGGGGGCGGTACCTGCAGCAGTGTGAGGTCACTGGGGGTGGGGGTGAGGTCACTGGGATGAGTTGATGGGATGGGGTGGTACCTTCAGCAGTGTGAGTCACTGGGGGTGGGGGATGGGATGGGGGCGGTACCTGCAGCAGTGTGAGGTCACTGGGGGTGGGG